TCAGTCACGATCGTATTCAACAAGCAGCATACCAGCTCGTCTCCGTGGAGGATGGCGTCAAGGGCGTTGAATACCATCACTATCAGCTTGGAGTCATTCTCAAAGACCTATACTATGATCACGCAACAAACAGCTCTCCCGTGGAATGGCACTTGTTGGTGGGGACCGAACAATTGAATCTTGGCAGACAGGTCCTTTTGCAGCAACAAGAGAATCTTTCCAAACTCGATAATACCATGGAACTGGTCCACATGAACATTCAAGCCGCTCGTGTGGTCAAGACCAAGTCGGCATTCATTCCAGCCGTCCAGTTCTTACGGACTGCAATGGATTTGCTGTTATTACTGGAGGATCGGGAACAATCGAACAACGCAAACACGAATTTGATCATTGAGGTACAACTCTTTCACGCGGAAATGGAACTGGCATCGGGAAATGCCACAATCTGCAAGAAACTCCTCGATGAACTGCTGCTGTCGACATCGCATGGCAGTGTCGTCATGATGTCCATGGAGGACCAACTCGAAGCGTACAGTTTGCAAATCAAAGCCTGCGAACGCGAAAACAACCATGCCGAATCTTGCAAAGTGGCACGAAAAGCCCTCCAGTTGGCGGGTATCAAAGCGCCTAGATTCCATACCGGCCCGCTCAAAATGTTTTGGTGCATTGCCAAATTGAACCATCGGCTCCAAAAACATTCGTTGGACGAGATTGTGGAAATCCCACGAACGGATAGTAGATTCCACGGTCTGGTGACGGACATTGTGGCGCACATGTCCATTGCATTTCACAACCTCGAACAGATGCCATCCTTTGTCGTCACCATTGTACTCTTGGCAGAGTTGTGTCTCCGATGGGGTCCTACGGCGGCGTCGACAGCGGCGTTTTCGGTCGTGGGTTCCGTATTGGTGGGCATTGGAGCTGTCGAACGAGGCATTCAAGTGGGGCGGTTGGGATTGGACATTTTGAATCGCTGGAATTTCCAGGAATCCGTAGCAGAACTGACCGTGGCTCACGGGTACTTTTTGATGCACCTCCGACGACCGCTTCCCGAAATGATTGACGTCATGAAGCGTGGGTACCAATCTGGAATGGCATCGGGAAGGATCTTTCATGGTCACATTTGCGCCTCGTGTTCCTTGCTCATACGATTCATTTTGGCAGCTCATCCGCTTTCCCTTTTGGCCGAGCACTGCAAGGCGATTACTCATGAAATGGTCAACTACCAGAGCATGCTTCAGTACATTGGTCTGATGAGCCTTCGTCAACTCATTGAGAATCTCATGACGAGAGACTGTCCTGAAGGAAGCCCGACAGCGACAACAATCTCCTTTTGCAGCAGAGATAAAGCCACGCTGGAAGGAGATGTAATCCCAGACTTTGACGAGCACGAAGAGAAAGCACAGCTTGAGCATGGCCCTCCTAGAAGACTCACACTGCTGTTTTACATGATGGCGGCCTATCTATTTGGGGATTTGGACCGTGGTCGGTACTTTGCCGAGATGTTGCTGCAGGGAGAAAGTGAATTTCCAATGATGCCAGCTATGCTCTATCCCTTCTTTCGAGGCATGATCTTTTTTGATCTTGTGATAAGTGGCCCCAGAAAGAAGAAGCGATATTATCTGAGGCTTGCCAAAAAGGAACTTGCACAGCTGACGCAGTGGAAGAAGGCCGGCTTTATCAACATTGTTTCTTGCCAGCTGTTGTTGGAGGCCAAGTTGCTGTCCGTAACGACAAAGCCTCCCAAGAACTTACGAGCTGTTTCTCAAGCCTTCAACCAAGCCATTGTGACTTCATCGAGGACTGGGTTCTCTCTGTTTGCTGCCATAGCCCACGAAAGTGCTGCTGATTTCCTTTGGCAGTTGGATCGCGTGCAAGCCAAGTTGCATGTAGAAAAGTCACTGTTGCTCATGAAAGAATGGGGTGCCGTCGGAAGGGTGGACTTTTTGATGCACAAATACAACTTTCATGGAGAGACATCCAAGATGGATAGCTTTGTGAGCGGGACCTTCTTGTCTCGTCGCAATTCTCTGCAGATAGCCTCGCGCCAACACAGCGGTATGAATTGGATCATGAAAGAGCAACCAGAACCATGAAAGCAGCAATGCAGATAGCCCGCACGAAGGGCAATCCAGTGCACTAGTAGCAGAGACAGAGACAGAGAGACAGCAACAATCAGCCAGCCCATCTCTCAGTACGGTATCACAACGCGGACGCTGATTGCGTCACCAGCCACAACCTTCCATAGAGAATAGATTAGAAATTGGAACCCGTCTCGAAGGTCTTGCTAGCTAGCTACCAGCATACAAGGGCACGATGTTCTCCGCGAGTCTTCTTTCCCTTCTCCAGAGTGCAAACTCTTCCTACAGAGAGCCACCACCAGAGGTCAGAAGGGCGGCAGAATAAAGGAACCGCAGCAGTCCGAAGCATTGTCCTATCCCGAGAAGTTGATGGTATTCTTCAGTTGCCGTGACGCGAAATTGTGGATCGGACGGTTTGAAGAAACACGATGTTACCACAGGCAATTCCATTCAATGCATGATGCCCGCTTCGCGACTGCGACACTTGCTTGTTCCAATTGCACACAACATAAGATTACAAAGACGACTGCAGCCAACCGCGGCAGAGGAACGAGGCTACGTCAAAGCACGGATTGCAAAAATCACATGGCCCGAAAAGTGAAGAGTGTTAAACACTTACTTTGGCAGAGCAGCCCCACATTGCCACGATGTTCCGGTTGCTGAAGAATCTCGATGTGCTGGTTCGGAAAGCTTCTTTCGAACGTGCAGCTAAGAACGATTTATCCAGATGGACAATCAAGGCGCGACTGAGCTAAGTAATGATACGCCATCTTCATAACATGCTTGAGAGTGAGAAAGGCGTGGGCCGATTCATTCCCAAGTACACAAAAACGAACATCCTTTTCGGGACACTACTCCGGATGTTTCTCAAGGTTGGGCATCTTCGTCGGGCATCGTCAACGGAGAGAGCTACTACACGTAGTACGGTAATCGGGGGCAAAGGGCTCTCCGGAAAAATTTGTCAACTTTTGGCGTCTTGCGGCGGGAATCGTGAACAGGGAGAGCTAATGCAATCGGGGTCAAAAGGTAGACGGCTTTTTGGATTGGTAGCAAGCTGAGCGAAGCATCCGCTGCGTTTGCAGTGATATCCCTGGTGCCCAATCCCATAAAGGAAAGTGCCCAGGGTGAAGCCAAACAGGAAGAAGAGGAGGGAAACGGAGCACGCGATCAGCTTTGTGTAGTGAGATATCCAACGAGAGGAGGCAGATGCAGGATCTACATGTACAATTCTACACTATGGTCTACTGGCGGGCTAGCTAGCACTCGTCTAATAGCTACAGGTACCGGTAGGATACATTGGTACCGTACGGTTCCAACCAACTAGCTTAATTCTGCTTCTGCCATAATTCCGAGTACCGTGCAGCACGGCACCACACATGATTGAATTTGCAATAACCTGGGATTTGCAATTCCTTTGGAATTGGCCATCGTTTGGTCTCCATGTAAGCCGCCCCGGACTTCTCTCACCAGAGCCATGGTCTAACCTTTTCTAATCTAAAGAGTGACAGTCTGACTCCAGCTAGCTTCAGCACACCGAATCTACGACGCTTGATACCTTATTAGTTTGGATACGGTCCGGAACCACTGCATGCAACGCGGTGTAAACGGAGTCAGCCGCTCTTTTTCTTTTCTTTGACCGTTCATGTTCCAACAGTGTCCAAACAGAGATAATCTTATATGTTTTTAATTTTTTATTGCAATACAACATGTCCATTACTGGCTAAGGTATTCTATGCTACAGTATCAATCGTTTAGAAGTCGACTGCTGTATAATCCACCCGCCAACGCCCTCGTAGAGTCTAGTATTTTTTTTTTTTTTTTTTTTTTTTTTTTCATTTTCTACGAGTTGTTTGCTTTTTTGGCGGGTTGAAACGGCCAGAATCCCCGTGTTATTTGCTAGAAGACACTTTATTGGATTCTGATGAGAACTCACTCTGAAGATTTAAGCTTCCAAATGGATTTTGAGTGCCATTTCCCAGGTTTTGTATAAGGAGACAGTTGATTGGAAGTTTTACTCTTCTAGTAGTTACTGGGTAAAATCCACTGTTGGATTTTCAGCCGTTTTCTTGAGTGGGAATTGGCGGGTAAGATCCCAGTAGTAGTATCACGGAGAATCCACTGTTGGATTTTCAGCCGTTTCTGCCTCTTAAGTAATCTCAGGACAACTTACTAGCCGTTGAAACTTAATCCAAACATGACTGACTCCGTGGTAAACTGTACTACACAGTCAGCAAGAGAAACAAACAACAACAACAACAACAAACAACACAACAACATACAACAAACTCGACAACCGACCATGGCGCTCCTGTTACAAGTACCATGTTTTCTTCCTCGGGCATGTTGTCAGGTAGATTACACACAAAGATCTCCCACCTCACTGGCGCCCTTGGCATCGGCTTCAACCTCGGCATCGTCTTCGGCTTTTCCAGGCCGTTGGCCTTCCTTTCGCCTCAGCCTCTGCCTTGGTTGAGCCTCTGCCTCGGGCTTGAATCCACGGTCACCCGTGCACCTTCGGCTTTGCCTCAGGTTTGCACGACTGACCTGGATTCCCAGTTTGCCGGGAGATTTTTCTACACAAGACGATTTGAAGGGCTCATCACGCAAGCATGCGATGCCACCAGCTTTCGGATTTCGGAACTAAGAAATTTTGCTTTCCAGACGGAATTTTTTTTCCCGTGTAGAAACCGAATCGAATCTCAGTGCACTGAGAATCGGTTTCTACACGGGGAAAAAAAATTCCGTCTAGAAACCGAATTTCATTGCACTGAAAATCGGTTTCTATACCGAAAACAAAATTCCGTCTGGCAACCGATTTTCAGTGAAAAAGGGCGGCAAACCACCCTTCATCTTCATCATTCTCTTTGTGTTGTTGTTGGTGTCGATACGTACTATTACTAGTCTAGTTAGCATACCATCATGGACTGGGACGCCCAACAACATTTCCATCTCCATCGTGGGATGGATTGGGAGGCAGCATCGGCGGCCGCAGCAACAGCGCAGCAACACATGGCGCAACCCTTCATGGACCGCACCCTCTTTTTGCACCCGGCCGTGGCCCGATGGCAGCAGCCCGTGTATGGGACGATGGATCCTCCCACTCGGAATGAACAGAATGCCAGTGATGACGACAATAATGATGAGCTTCCTCCTCCACTTCCTCCTGCAACACTAGAGCCATACCATGAACAAGACGACGAAGAGGAGGAGGAGGAAATCCGAACCAAGCGAAATAGTAAACATCACTCTTCCTCCAACAGCCACAATCCCCGCAAAGCTCCTCAAGTGCCCCTCCATGACGACGACGATGATGATGACGATGATGACGATGATCAAGACAAGAATGATCCTCCCGGTGGTTTGGGTGTCAATACCAAGTACACTCCGACCAACAATTTGAAAACATCGGCCAAGGGGGGCAAATCCACCTTTGGATCCAAGGACAAGCCACTCAGTACTTCCTATGGGTTCATTGATGGACGGAGCAATGCACAAGCCAGTTTTGAACAAAAGGTCCGAATGCTCAAAGCGTACAAGGTGAGTAGTCTAGTTACATACATGTAGATCTAGTTGTGTCTTGACTTTGTTGGATCAGATTACACAAGTCCTGACCTGGTCTCTTACTCCATTCATTCATTGACAATCCAATCATCAATTCAAAGGATGAACACGGCCATTTGAACTTTCCCCAATACGTGGAAGATCCCAAACATCCCCATCGTCGTCTCTACGCTTTCTTGCACCAACAACGCAAGTTTCACCGGTACTTGCAACGAGGCGACAAGGTGCCGCTGACACAAGAACGCATCGACTACCTCACGAATGCGCTCGGCGAATGGTTGCCCAAAAAGGAAGGAGACGATGCTTGGCCGGAACAAATGGAACAATTGGTGGCATTTCACACACAACATGGACATACATGTGTGAGGGCGGTGGATCCCAATCATGCACTCGTTCCCTTTGTCGTCAAGATGCGCAAGGCATTTCGGTATTTGGAAGAAAAGACAGCGTACGAACAGAAAAAGGCCGCGGGGGAGCTCGACAGTGATGACGAACCGTTTATCGATCGGTATGCCGCCAAACCGAAACAGGCGCGGAGTGGAGATGCACCAATGCAACCAGGGAACAATGGCAACAACAACAATGGGGCTGCTCAGGGAGATCCACCGGCCAAAACAGATGGAGAAACGTCGGGCAGTGAAAAAGAGCAACAACAACAACCCGCCCAAAAGAAACTCTACAGTGTCAAACCATCGGGACCACGCCGCAACAAACCCACTGGAGCGCCTCGCATTCCTGTCTTTTACACACGGGACAAACACGAAATTCTCCAGGCACTCGAATGCCCTTTTATGGAAAGCTTTTGCGAGCACCCCGATGCCAAAATCAAGAGTGCCAAATTGGCGGATACGAAATGGTATCAGTGGGCCGCACAGCTCCGCGAGTTGCGTCAAACCGAACCCGACAATCATCTCTTGAAATATGTCAAGAGTGCGCGGTCATTGTCGGGATTGGATTTGTGGGTGTATCGCAATCGGGAAGCCTATCACACGCTGCTCCAAACGCGACCGCATATTGTCGATCGTACCAAGGAATTGCCCGCCACTGCTCCTCGGTCGCACAAATTCTTGCGCAAATTGTTTCTGGAGGTGCTCCAGGATGACATTGGTTTGGAAATGGATCCGGCCATCTGTAAAAAGGAGTTTGATAAACAAAAGAAGGCTCTGGAACTCAAATTGAAACAAAAGGCGATTGAAGAACGACGCAGGCAAACACCCGAATACAAACTGGTGGTTGCCAAGGAAGTCGAAACTGCTTCCATGGACGAAGTGGAAGAAGCAAAGAGAAAGCTCATGGAAGCCCAAAAAGTGGTCGATATGGTACGTATGTCGGAGGAATGCATTATATTTTCTTGCATGCTGCGAATTGGACTTGTGTATTCACTCCTTGTCGTTTTCTTTTTGTCCAAGGCGATGCAAAAACTAAGTGCGGCCAAGTACGAGCGTGAAATACTGCAACAAAAGGTCGATGCAAATCCAATGTACAAACCTGTGCATGTCCACCCTCGTGGCGAAGACAGTCACAGTGGCCGTGCTACGGTTGTCGGAATGTGCGTGCGATCGGTCAAAGGAACCTTTGGACCAAAGACATTCTATACAGTTAGGTTTGACGACGAGAAAGACAAAGTAGTGCATGGCGTGGATGCCGCCTTTTGTGAACGTCTCGACCTGAAAAAACCAGCTGCAGCTGCCACAGCACTTCTTCCAGCAACAGCCGCTGCCAAAGCTCCTCTAGCTGATAATGGCAATCACGACAAATCTTCTCCGGGACAACAGAAAGAGGTTCCAGCCACACAGGGTGCCACGGTGCCGCCACACGTGGATGGATCGGTAGCTGCTGCTCAAAAGCCAGCACCAGTACAAGCAAATGACAGTGCAGCAGAGCAAACACGACAACAAACAGCGAAAGACACAGCAGTGTCAGCTACTGCAGGGGGGGCCCCTTCGGCCAACGATGATGATGCAAAGCAAAATTCAGAATCTTCTCCATCTCCCACAACGAAACGTGGTCGCAAACGAAAGACCCCACCCGAGGAAAGTGACAACAGCCCCGAGGAGCAGTTTATCGATGTGCCGGTGGAAATTGTGTTGTCTCGAAACAAGGGCGAGAAAAGTTGGGGAATAAAACTTGGCGTGAGTGCATCTGGTGGTGCTCATATTCAAGCATTTACAGACGGACCGGCATGCCGGCACGACGACATTTTTACCGAAGACAAGGTTGTGGGAGTCAATGGAAAGTCATTGCACACATTCGGTGACATTGTGAAAGAAATTCAAGCCCCCAATAAGAACGGCATTCTCAAGCTCACTCTGATGCGCAAGGTTCCAGCACCTCCTCCAGCCCCACCGGCGCCCATGACAACTCGCAGGCGAGCGGCCAAATCCGGCATACTTCCAGACCCCCCTTCCGGGCCCGCGAAAAAAGCTAAAAGGCGCAAAACCACTGCCAAGAAGAGAGTTCCAGCACCTCCTCCGGATCCACCGATCCCCGTGAAATCTCCCAAACGAGCCAAGAACAACAACAACAACGCGAAGAAGAAAGTTCCAGCTGTATCTCAATGGCCATCTCAGCAGACCACGACGATGATGACTCGAGGGAGTGCCACTAAAAGGGTAGCTGAAAAGCTTTTGCGTCTTCGCCGTTAGGACATGCATTCAGGAGGAGGGAACTGTTCAGTTTCAATTTGTCCCCAGCATGTCTACAACTAAAAATACTGTAGCTAGCTAGCTGTTTACTCTAATCTACTCTACTCAGCTCCTTCAACTCAACAGTGTCGGTCAGGAAGGTTGCCTGTGCTTTGCTAGTACATGTCCAGATGCCTAACTACCCGTAGCTAGCAGTTAAAATTTTTGTTTCCCAAATTTTATCTCTTCTCTTTTC